CCCCCCCCCAGCTCAAGCCTCATGCTGACTGGATTCTGGGTCTTTGCCAAAGCCACCAACTATGCATCAGGTGCACTATCTCCAGAGACTCTGGGGAACAAGCCAGGTGGCCGTTCTGCCCTGCAGGAAAGGGCATGCGGAGGAAGGCAGGCTGGCAGCAGTGCTGACTGCCCCTTCCGGGGAGGGACAGGGCCATGGGGCCATGGGCACCATCGGTGAGCACTGGGGCTCCCTGTTACATTTCAGAGGGTCAGACAAGGTCTCCAGCATCCCTGGGGTTTCTCATGATGTTGCAGGTAGAAATGCGTGAGCCCAGACTGTGTAATGGCCAATCAGAGCAGGTAGGGAAAAGTAAGAAAAATAGGGCCAGCTTTGCTCTAGCCCTGTCCCTGGAGGTGCTGTGGGGATAGGGAAAAGAGTCCTGGATTCCAGTCCAACCCCGCCACAGACTCGATTTGGGATCTTGCATGAGTCCCATCCCCTCTTGGACCACAGCTTTCTTTTTTTTTTTTTTTCCTTTTTGTCTTTTTTACTGACTGGTAACGGGATCGCAACCCTCGGTGTTGCGCCCGCACCACGCTCAGCCAGTGAGCGGGAACCGGTCTCCACATGGGATCCGAACCCTCGGCAGGAGCGCCGCCGCGCTCTCAAGTGGCGCACTCTCCAGTGCGCCACCGGGCCAGCCCGGGCCACAGCTTTCTTATCTGTCTCATCACCGTTGAGTTCTTGGGGCCCAGCACATGGCTCGGTGCACAGTAGGATCTCAACACTAGTTTGGTACATAAATGAAGTGAGTAAACAAAGGGGCTGCTGGATGGAGGTCTAGAGGCAACCTGTTAAGGGCATGTGGCATGAGACTTGGAGGACTAGAGGATCCCCTCCAAAATGGAATCAGGAGCCAAAAATATCACCCTAACCTGGAAGGCTGCACTGAAATGAACTTTAGGGGTACATGTGAGATCTTGCAGTCGGGTTCAGAAAAGCAACTGCAGAAGCCTGAGTCAGGGAGATGTGGCTTAGAAGAAGCTGGTGAGAAAGTAAATCTGCAAATGTTAGTAGCTGGGGGCTCGGTAGGAATCAGCGGACTGACATGGCATGCAGGATCCCAAGACACGTGGGTCCTCCCTAGGGTGCTGGCTGCCCAGCAGAAAGGGACCATGTTGCACCTCACAGAAGCCCTTTTGTATGCCAGAAGTAAGGAAACACCAGAATAAAAGAAAGGAAGGAGGAGGAAAGGCTGGCGGTCAGTAGAAGGGTGAAAAGAATGGTGAGGTTCCTAAAAACCCTCTTCCCAAGGGATGGAGGGAGGCGGAGACAATCTTGCTGCCTGTGAAGTAGGCTCGACTGCTCCCCTCATTCATTCTGTGAGGGAACCAGTGCCTGAGAGTTTCAGGCAAATGGCTCAAGGTCACCCACCCCATTTTCTGAGTTCGACTGGGAAACCCAGCAGTTTGACATCTAGAACCAGCGCTCTTAACCTCTGCCCTCCAGCCTCACCCACGCTGATGGAATCACAATCTCCAGGAATTTCTATTTCTGAAACGCTCCCTAGGAAATTCTAACGTCCAGCCCAGCTCAACCCAGTGCAGTGCAGGATAGAGCCCTGGGGAATAACTCGCCCAGGTGACATTTAATGGTCAGTTTGGTTCTGAGCCTTCCCACAGAGCTCCCAGCAGCAGAAACCAGTCCAGAGATCCAGCTCTAGCACAGAGTAAGTGATCAAGAAATGTATGTGCGATGATCCCCCAGCACGTACCATGGTCTGGTGTGAATTCGCCCCTCCTGGACACCTGCCTCAGATAGTTGTTGACACCTTCCCGAGAGAGGCGTGCCACGGGGTGGGTGCAGAAGTCTGGCCCTGAGACACCAGGACCATCGGAGCCAAAGCCTGTACCCTCGACCGCCAGAACTGGCTCATGGAGGGAGGGGGGTCAGCTCCCCCAGGGGATAAGGACAGGCATTAACAAGTCGAGAGACTCCCCCCAAATGGGGGAGGGGTCCACCTCTGGCTAGCACTTCCTTCATCCTGCCCAGACTAGGGAAAGCTCAGCAGGCCACTTCTCTCCAGGGACTCCACAGACACAAAGCCCAGGGTTTTCGGTTGCCCTGGTAACAGCAGGACCTACTTGGAAGAAAACAGTCTCTTAAAAGGCTTACTAGGGTGGATACTTCCTTTGACAGGGAGCAGGCCCTAGCCTGCTCCCTGCATCCCCTCTCTCTTTCCTGCCTGCCACACATAGGGGTACAGCTGGGGCCCTCACCTTGGCAACTCTCTTAATGGGGGATGGCGGTGGTGCGTGTGCTGGAAATTTGGGCCCTGGCTTTTTATTGTGCTCCTGCTGTGGGCTGTTAATGTGAGAAAGGGGCTGGAATGGAAGGTGTTAGCTTGAGAATTCCCGGTGATGGCCCTCTGGCCCGAGGAAGCCTTGCCTTGTAGCACCCCACACCACCAAACTTGAGGAGGGCAAGTGCCCCAGCAATTCCGGCCTTTCTCACCACTTACCACATAGAGATGAGGCCTGTTGGGGTATGGGCATGCCAGAGAGACTGTCCAGAAGTTCCAGACTCCCCCCCGCCCCGCCCCACACACACACCCGCTATTCAGCCCCTCCTCATCTCTCACCTGGACTACTGAAGTAGCCTCCCTGCTGGTCTGACCAGCCTCGAGTCTCTACCCTTTCTAATCAATCTACCTTCCACATTCCTGTGGGCAGGGTCCTTTGAACTCACAGATCTGGTCTGATTGCTTCTATACAAAACCCCTCAATAGCTCTCCTTCCTCATGGAAGATCTGTGGACCAGATTCTCTCATTCTTCATTATCTGGTCAAAAACCACCTATGCCGCCTCATCCATCCTTCTTCCCTGCTCCAGTCAGTCCAAACTCCAAACATCCTGAATTACTTCCTTCTTTTTTATACACCAGGCCCTTTCATGCCTCTGGGCCTTTGCACACCCCATTCTGTCTGCCTTAAAAATTCACAAACTCCTGGCCCCACTCCAACTGGCAATCTTCTCAGCTCAAAGACCAGTTCCTCCACGAAACTGCCTCCAGTCTCGAGGCATGGACAGTAAGGACGACACAGGGAGAAAAATCAGGAGCTTGCAGAACTGCTTGTTCCTTCCCAGCTGAGCACCCTGCTGATGGCGTCCACGTCTTTGGAGGCCATCACCTCCTCTCAGTGGTGTGGTGGAGAGTGACCTCCACTGGGCTTGAGTCACCCAGACCTGGCTTTGAACCCTGGTTCTGCCACTCCCTTGCTGTGTACCCTTCAGTTGGTCATTTCACTTCTCTAAGCCCCAGTTTCCTTCTTCTAAGAACGGAGATAATAATAGGATATATTAATGAGATCATTGATATGAACCAACAACAACAATAAAAATAGCTAATACTTCTTAGCACTTATTATGTGTTGGGCACTAAGTGCTTTACATTTATTAACCCATTGAATCATCACAACAACCCTGTAGGTAGGTAGATTAGGAAACTAGGCACAGAACGTTTAACCTGCCCAATGACATAGCATTAGCACAAAAGTGCTTTTGAACCCTCCAGTGATACAGGCAAAGTCCTGTGGATCAAAAATGAGGCCCAAGGAGCAGGAGAGCTCCAAGATCCAGAGCAGGCCCTTAATCTTTTTTAGGTCATGGGCCCCTCTACAGTTTGGTGAAACCTTTGGACCCCTTCTCAGAGCAATGTTTTCACATGCATGAAATAAAATGCATGCAATTACAAAGGAAACCAATCATATTGAAATGGTCATAAAAATCTTTTTAAAATGTTGTGATCTAGGGGC